TCAGGTTCTGGTTTATTCGAAGATGAAATTAGTAAGCTAGCATGAAATTTGTTTCCTATGTGCATGTTGAATAAATCACCCCGATATTGTCATTTGAATACGAGTTGTAATGAAGTTGAATTGTGTCTAACAGTGTAATCAGATAGTCTCGTTTCGTATCTTCTTGAAGTCGTCAACTTGACCCACTTATAATTCATTTCACAGTCTTCTTAACTTAAACAAGTATCCCTCTAAAACACAATCAGGATTGTGTAGGTTGATAAATGTCTACCGATAATTGACCCGTATGATCTTCAGAGGCATAGAAGGAACTCATCAATTCCTAATCCATAAGTCTTCCTATCACAAAAACATACTAACACATATATCTATAGTTCACTTCATAATGAAACGTACTTTTCCAATGACAATTATTCAATGAATGATGCCTTGTAGTTATCTTTCACATAACATTTAATCATTGTTGGATTAGCTACTATTAAACATGATAATTGAAATTGTGTTTCAGCTACAAGTGAGTTCTAATGTGAATGTGTTTTGTGACTGATTATTTATGCAATTATATTCACAATATAATTAGTTAAGCTAAGATTCCTACATGACTGATTTATCAGTCATTTGGATTCGATTAGATCCCTGAACAAATCAAATTATCATTTCACATTAGATGATATCATTGATAAGTTAACTTGTCAATAACTGACAGCCCAATTAAATTTTCTGTAAATCAATATGACAATGCTGGATAACATTTTGAGATGAACGTGGATAACCAATCTAACATACAACGAGATTCCCATTAGAAGAATCGTAGAGTACCAATCAACTCTCAATGCTCGCTGATGTTTGGACTGAAATGATCAACAATGTTAGTAATCGAATCACTTTCCAGTAAGTATGAAAGTCTGTGACATATGATGATTGTGATGGGTCGATATATTGGGCTGCTGAATAATTATCATTAACACACAGATTGTCTCGACTGAAAAATTTCATTACACCACTGAATTTGTGTGAACATATCAGTGAGAGACAACAACCAACACGACAAGATACGTTTGCACAGAACTGATGGCACATATGTATTAAAATGATTTATGAGTGATGGTGACTTGGTTTTAAACTGAAGAAAAAGTGTTGGTTCTATGGAAATATGTTGTGCCTAAAATAGTCCGTTCGTCCTTGTCTATAGATATCTGAAGATGTAATGAGGTAGCCAAATCTCAGTAAAACATCATCTTAAGAAACAGAACGTACTAATGAAGCACGTATGCGTAAGTTGTAAAAACACATTCACTGTTAACTAGATTCGAATTTTCTTTGTTTGATAATACCACATTTGAGACTGTAAACCGAGAAGGTTACTGATATAGATGAAGTTCCTGCGACTACCGATCATCAAGGTTTTCCAAGATGAGTAAACATCTGAAATGAATCATATTCTTGAATAATGTCTAGTTATTCAGGTCATATCAATGACTTGTCCACTCGTTCATGATGCATTTAACGTGACGTCTGTATTTACCACAGTTTTGAATAAATTACGTAATCACCCAACATCTATTTATGATTGTTTGAGTAAAAAGTGAAAGTCTGTTTTAATTACAGCCCAAACAACGAGTAAGTTCTAAGTCCTTACCATTTATACCTATGGAAATTGTTAATGTTCTGTTAGGTTAATATATATTAGAGTTATCGATGAAGAGTTTCAAGTGAAGAGTTGACAAAGAGATCTGATCTTGTGTTGTCTGTAGTCAGGACATCATAAAGCAAGTATTTTCAATTATTACACGAATGGGGATCCTGTGAATTCTCCTCTGCTAGATGAACAAGTTATTTCAGATTAATATGTCTTGATTGATTGAACGGTTAGTTGATTATGCGGGTGTGTGTGAGTGTGTGTGCAGAATGCATTCTTAATTGAATAATCTGCCATGTGTAAACCAATAAGTCTTCACTCATATGATTATTGATTAAGGTATGAGTCGATCGACCAGTATTCAATCCGCAATAGAACAAACTGAATAATTCACACTTTCACTTAAAGTGATATAAACACTATATTTCAAAACAAGTAAGTGACCAACTGAACTGAGTAGAACAGTGAATACACAACTCTCTGGCATTTAAATTCGAAGGTACTGAGTTCGAATCCTAGTGTGAAAATACCAAAGTCCCCAACTACGCATACCCAACAGACGATTATCAAATAAGACAAAGAGTATAAGTTCCATTTCCAGACCAACAGCACAGAGAATCATGCACATTCCGTACACATGGATCATTACTCATTTTATATAATTTGAAGTTTCATGAAACGTTTCGAAGCATGAATTAAATATAAACTCTCCTCGTCCTTCATACAATTCTATTCACAGCTACAGGTTCAGCCAGTAAGTGATTATGTCAGAAATTATTCAGTTGATCATTTACTCTGTCTCTTCAACGCACTACATAATTCTGCGCTTAGAAATAACTTTTGTGAACACTTTGAGAGTATACAAACACATCAGTAGATTAGTAGTTGATTATTCAAATATAGTAAACATATCCATAGACAAAAACATTCATTTAACCAACTGTACTTTTATTGATCAAAATGTTTGTTTTGAATTCATCATTTACCTAAACGTGTTTTATTGTTCTCGAACAATTTAGACTCCATGAGACTGTCTTGGATAACCATTTCATCAATCTCCATGATAGTGATTGGACTGACCAATGGTCATTTAAGAAGATTCATCTTCTAGAATATGACAATCGTTGACTACAACAGAAGCTCATTTTGTATGTTACATTACTAGTATTCCTTAAAAAATACAGAAATACTTTGTTGTAAACATTGTTCCGTGTTTGTAAATTATTCAAATATTTACTGTATATGGTTTTATTCGAATAGAAGTGTAATCTTCTTCTAGGTTAAGTATGAACTAAATGTTTATATTTATTATAGAGAGAAGGTGCAGTTTAACCGACGATTGAGGTTCTCATTGAATAACATCTGAATTGAATTGTGTCATGTAAGATGCTCGAGCAAATATTTGTGTTCAAGAGTATTGTAGTTTGTAGACAATGACTGTGATTCCCACTGTTGTATTTGACACATTTCATCTTCTACTCCTAACCTGGTGAGCATCATTTTACGATAATTCACATTGAATGCATTAGTCGATGTTAACGATTCTTGTATGGAGTGCAATGCCGTCATATTGAATTGAAACCATGATGTGAATTATTTCCAGACGACTCAGAGAAAAACTGTATTCATATTAAATCTCTTCATTTATGATGAACCTTGTGTAAAATCGTATTCATAAGAATCAAAATATAGATGACCACTTGTTTGATACAGTGAACGTCTAATGAATAGAACAAATAGATGAAATATTATCATTTCATAAGTGAAGATTTTTTTATAATGGTTAGCATAGTAAGAACTAAATGGTTTGGCGACCTGTTCGAATATGTGGAATACCTGTTCACGACATCAATAAATTTCGTCAAGTTATCTGATTTTGATTGTTTTAAAACATCATTATGTCGATAAATCACGCAACCTATTCAGGTGCGTTTCTGACAAGTTCACGAACTTTCTCTGTACGAAGTGCATCCAGCGACATCGTAGTGGCTGGTAGACAATATGCATTCATTAAGAATGAACATTATTTGAATGTATATTCTTGAACTACTAACATTTAACTGGTGATAACTGACTCGTTAGGATCGATCAAGAAATGGGAAAAGGAAACTTGTAGAAATCCTGTGTACTGAGAATTCTATATTGTAACAGATCGCAACTGTGCTCATCATATCAAGAAGTATGGGACACAACGCATGTGAATAAGCACAGTCAAAACATGATGAAAAGTGATAATTCAGAGTAGTGTGGTTATTCCAGTTACCAGTGATCGTATTCAAAATCAAGGAGATTGTGTAAGGTTAATGAAAGGAATAAAGGATTGAGTAGTCGCTCAATATTGATTAAAATGAAGAGACGTGTAGGTCCTTGGTTCGATTCTCGCATGGCCGAATCGTGGATGTCTACTGCCAAGGACGAGTCCCAAAATAGGTCGAAACGGCCATCCAGTGCTTTCTGGTTTTCTATGGTGGTCTAGTTTTAATCGACTCGTGATCTTAATTATTAAAATATGTAAACATGAATAAATCTAAGAAGATGACGAATACATAAAAAGAGATTGCATGGCTGCAAAGTAATTTGAGAAATTAAAGCTTAATAAATGTTATGGAATAAGCGCTCGGTTATCATGACATGAGAAGTCTAATCACACATTGTTTTCTTCTCGTATATATAGTTCAAATAGGAAATGTTTGATACAGGCTGTCTGTATATGCGAAATGCAGTAGGATTGGTGTTGGGCTATTTGTTGATTATTTTGTATGGATTACTCACATTCACTTCATGTCCACTATTCAAAAGACGTCAGGTAATTGTACTTGTGATGAGTTAATTCCCTCTCAGACATAGGATCGTAGTGTAATGTATACAACTTGTACGGATAGATATATGTAGTATGTAGTTAGAAGTCGTACTGACGGAAAAGTAAATGAAGAGAAAGAAACGTAAAACAGAGAATAACTGGTTAAATGACTGACATGGAAGGACGATAGGGTTAAAAAGAAGCGATTAAAGAAAGATGTGAATATAGTATATTTAAAATATCGTCTTCATATTTCGTGAGGACACTGTGGTCATACGTTGTTAAACCGATTTTCCTTTCCACGTGAACTTTCATTACACCAGGAACACGTTCAGAGAACTTAGTCGACCTCTTGTGCTTCGAAACTTCTATTTCTTGTCGCTGACATCTAGTTATTTCAACGAGTCATCTGTTTTTGTTTTGTTTTATTGCCTCATTATGCCTGATAATCGCATAACCTATCCAGGCGCGTTTATGAGAAGCTTACAACCTTTCGCTGCACATGTTGCGATGAAGTACAATGAGAGACATCGCGCATGTTAGCAATCTGCGTTGAAGAGAATGAACATTAATCGTATATTGACTCTTGAGCTGCTAAATTCCAACTGCCGATCACTAGTTTACAAGGTGAACTATCTTCGATTCCTACTGCGACAAAATATGTATCGTAATTGTGTTGTCATCACAATTCAAGAATCTTGGTTAGGTGATTTACGGCTAAATTGCTTAATATCACCATGTGACTTCAATATCTATCGTCAGGATCGACCAAGCGACAAAAAGATCTGTGGCGTCGGTGTAGATACGTTTGTAGCTGGTTTCGATATACTTTTGTATGTTTCAAGTTTTAAAATGACTTTATCGACTGTCTAACTTCAAGATTCCGTTAGAAAACAGCTGAGTAAATACAAATATGTTTATTTTAGCAACATCTACGTGGCTCCAGACTGCACACCATCTGTGCGGTCGGAGTGTACAGTTAAAAGCAGAGTTTATAAAGAAGTGTCAGTCACCGAGCTTTGACGAAGAGACATACAATCCAGTTGTCGTCACAGAATCGCGTACTACCGCAGCTACAGAGTAGTGGGCTAATATTGTCGCAGACACAGCTACTGCTTCATGTAGTTACGTCCAGTGTTCAGACAACACAAGCAGCGGTAGTATCTCTTTAATTATTAGAAACGTATAGGTTGTGCGATGTCAGAAATGTCTCCAGCCATTCATCTTTCAATGAAAGAACAGTTTAACAGAATGGTCATTGAAATGATGAAAGTTGGTTACATAAGCATAAAGAAGGCTGACCAAAGATTGGACGTTTTTCGTGCGCGGTAACCAGAACTTCCAACGTCCGTCCGGAGTGTTCTACGTCGATGCAACGGCGTAGAGCCTGAGATCCTTGATTCTGGAACGTATTACCACTTTGGTTTGAAATCAAGTCTTTTGAGAATTTTGGGACATTTGCTATGGCAAATCCGTTTCACAGAACTGAAGTTGCAGTTAAACTACGATGTTCTAAGCTTGTTTAAAAGCTCTAAGCAATAGCTCTGGCCCATCTTAGGTCGCATAGTAGCTCCACTAGTTAGTAGCATTTTCATAGTTGAGATCTATGGTGGTGAAGTAAAACCATCTGATTTCAACGACATGTCAGCAGCACTTATAACAGAGTTACAGGAGTTGCTGAAAGTGGGTGTTAATGTAGATAAGTATCAGCTACATTTAACAGTTAAATTAGTTGCTGTTATTTGTGACGCTCCAGATCGCAGCAACGTCAAGTACATTGTGGGACACAATGGCATCGCTGGATGTGACAGATGTCAGGTTTTAGGGAGACGAATGAGTGGTCGGATGACTTTCCCCGATGGTGAACACGAATTGAGAAGTGATGTGACTTTTCGTAGTAGGTCCCAATATATCCATCATCGTGGTAGAAGTTCATTTGAAAATCCGCCAGTGGATATGATAAACTGTTCTCCATCGGAACCGATGCATATGATATATTTAGGTGTTACAAAAAAACTTATTTCATTATGGAAGGAGCTGGCTATTAAGCGACTTAATAGGGTGGATCAATTAACTATCGCATCAATAAATGAGGCACTAGACATATGTAGACAACACACTACATGCGATTTTCAACGGAAATGTCGTTCACTGTATGAAGTTTCTGTATGGAAAGCAACTGAATGTCGGTGGTTCTTATTATACTTAGGACCTGTAGTTCTTCATAATAGGTTACCACTATCAATGTACAGAAACTTCCAGTCACTTTCTTTGTCTATGTATTTATTATCACACCCTAAGTTTCATAGCACATTCGCTAACAGTGTTCGGGTTTACATTAATAACTTCTTATTAGGTTACGAAAGCTGTTACGGTACCGAACACTTAATCTACAATGTGCATAGTTTAAAGCACATTGCAGACGACGTTATGGAACATGGTACTTTAGAATCCTTCTCGGCATTTCCTTTTGAGTCCCACATGAGAAAAATTAGGCGTTCAGTACACTGCGGCTAAACAAGCCGCACAGCGATATGCCGAAGAAGTTTACTGAATCAGGATGTGGCTGACAACGTCACTGGGCCTGAGGTAACTTATGATTCTTCCAAGGAAATCATCAGTTACAGAAACACAAAGCTATCAGCCACAAGGCCGGATAATGTAGTTATTGCAAAAGGTAGACCAGGGTTCGTAACAGAAATAAGTGATGGTGGTCGATTTAAGTTTCGAGCATTCCTTGACCTTTCAGATTTATATACGGACCCTTTTCCATCCGGTAACATCGGTGTATTTAAGTGCACTACCTTAAGCCACGAGTGTACGTGGATTACAGTAACAGACATACTTTGTAAATGCGTTTGTATAAGGACACAAAATTATGTAGTTATTATACCTCTTTTACATACATTGCAATAAGCAAAGTCACATCACTTGTCGCAAATATAGCACGTTAGCCAGTAAGTGTTTGTTGATTAGTGATTTTGCGTCGTCCATTCATTTACGGCATCAAGGTGGCAAGTATATTTTAGTTGACGATAAGGAGAAGCAGCAAGTGCTCTGCATTCCGAACAAATGGCTCCTGACCAACGATCATTACCTTCATCGTGATGATATCAGTGAGCATGAAATTGTTGAGGGTGTTGATGTTGACAGTCAATTCAACGTGAGAAAATGCGCCGTTATGCATCGTTGTGGTAAGTTGTTATCAATTAACATTTATTGTTTTCAGACGACTACAATGTAGCCCAGGAATTAAAAGTGTGTTTAGCAACAGTACTGCGCTACAATACTAACATCACGACTAACGATGAAACGCAGTCTTGTCACGCTGACAAGCCGAAAAGGTGAATTGTTCAACTTATTATATCACTTGTGTTAGGACTGTCAAACGAAAAAATACCGATTATTTATGCACCTCAGAAGAACTAGAGGTTGCTGAGGTTGAGGCTGGATTTGCCCCGGTGGAATTTCCAATTGTCAACATTTTGACAGGAAACTTTTCTCCGATTGTGAGGTTTGTACCCACTTTATTTATATTCATATAGTAGTTCATCTAAAGCTGATGTATCATTACCGCCACTTCCACGTACTTTGACGGAAGTTAATAAACCGTAAGTTGCATTTACTGTATTCCTGATAACAAAAGTTTGTGCGATGATACAAATCAAATGTTGAGAATTATCCTGAAAGCGGTCACTGGACTATCTAGCAAGGTGGATAAAGTGATCGCTGTATGTGAACGCTTAGCCATGGGTGCAAGTGACAGGCGTATGAAGGAAAAATATAGTGATGGAATCACTTTCCCATTAAGAACGCATGAAGAGTTGCGTTCTTTAGAAGCAGCCTTAGAGAACCAAAATTCCGGGATCACTTCGTAAGTTGTAACAGGTGTTTGAAGAAATTTTAGGTGGGAAGATTACACCATCTACTATGTGATGATCTTCGGAAATCAGCAAAAGCCTATCTGAAATACCTCCTTTCTCCGGAACTGGCAAACACGTACACCATTGCACAGAACCAGAAGTAAATTTCGTATTAGTAAGTACAAATTTTACTCGACGGTTCAAAGTAAGTCCACATTACTGTATTAACATATTTGTAGGTGCTTTGTGTTCACGTTTCAGAAGTGCAAGCTGCCAGGAAAAGGATATAATACACGCCATGACTACAGCAAGCCAGGCCTTCTTGCATGACGCAAGAAATAAAGTACATAAACGTGGATGGCGATCCAAAGAAAGGGTAAGCTAAAACCACTTAAAATGTTTGTTATAATACATATGTTAAGTTTGTCCTACAATGTTCCTACTCGTTCCCTTTCTACTCTTTCCTGTATTGTTTTATACTGTTTATAAAAATTCAGTAGTCAGTTGTATTCGCAATAACTGAAGTTCACTTTGGGGATTTCCGCAAAGTTCGCAGGATGATGATTATCATTGTATTTATCACTATAATCACTGTACTTTAATAACTGTAACGGTTTATTACTTTGGGATCAATACTTTAAGTGATACAACTTTTGTTTTGTCCGTTTCCCTTTCACCTGGCTTCGCAGGCTTTATCGAACGTAACCGTAACTTCTTTGTTCTTTTGTATATTGTTTTATACTACTTACTAAACTTCAGTAGTCAGTTGTATTCCCCATAACTTAAGTTTACTTTGGGGATTTCCCCAAAATTTCCCCAAAGTTCGCAGGAAATTTTAGGGAAACTTCCCAAATCTTTGGGGAAATTTTGTGGAAGCCGCTATGATAAATTTTGGGGAAATGAGACGAAAACTCAAAATTTCCCCAAAATGGACCAAGTTTTCTCCAAAGCTGGCAGCTTGGGGTGTTGGAGCAGACAAATATGAACGCAAAAAAATGTTAACCAAGTTATGAAGAGTAAATAACAATGTTAATAGTTATTACTACAACGTAAAAATATGGACTTTACTTAAATTCACCAAGTTGCCGTGTGTTCTGATTGGGTCTGGTATCGTAAATCCACAATTATAAATGTTCGATAACTCTGTACAGGTTGTTGAACTCTCCAATGATGTAATCCACTGTTATGTGCGATGTGTCTCAGCTTACAGTCTATAAATGTGGATAATATTCGATTTAGGATGCAGTCAGCTCAATAACGAGTGACAGTAGAACGAGGAGTGTGTGTATAGCAGTGTATTTGAGTACAACGAAAAGAACGTCACATTATGTCAGTATCACAACGGAAAGAGTGTTCAAGGTCATTTACTAAAACAACAGTTACAGTCATTTAGTGATAAATATATAAACAGTGAAAGATTGACAAAATAAATACAAATCATACTAAGAACTATATACAAAATAAGCTTGTCAGACCTATCTCCACAAAGCTTCCCCCAGAGTGTCCAGAGGTAATACTGGCTATAATAACAAACAAAATGTAAGTATATGATATATATATGTATACAAAAATAATATTTACAGTTATAACCAACAAAAATGTGGAGATGGGTTTGACATGTACGTTAGTAAGATGCAGTGTGTTGTTGTGTGACGGTAGCGGTGATGTAGCATAGCATAAAAAACACAATAAAAAGATAATATTGTCATTTAAAGTTTTGGTTTGCTAACAATGATAATAATGTGCAAAACTGTTAATAAACCCACACGAAAATTTTTTTTGGGTGAACTTGGTAGTGTAGGACCTCCTCCTCCTCCTCCTCTTGTTTCTCATGAATTGATGGGAGGGATTGCTTATTCGCAGAGTTGTCTTCTTTGTTTTGAGGAGCTTCGTAGAAAGCTGGTTTTATTCTGTCCATGGAAACGGTCTCCTTGTTCCCATTTTTGTTGATAATGAAGTATTTGTGGGTGCGTTTCATTACTTTATAAGGACCTTCGAATGGTGGTGTCA